CCCATTTGTAAAACAAGAAATGGCAGCCCTGGCGTGTGTTTGCTCCAGATGAAAGATCAAGCTAAAATAACTTACACGGAAACATATTTGAGTGTACACCGTAAAAAAAAGGTATTTTACCGAACTTTTAAGGTTTGGCACTTTTGTACGAAACGATTTTAAGTTCGGTGACACAAAAATCGTTTCGTAATTTTCATACAGAACTTTTTAAGTTCCGAAAATTTTAGAGAGTTTCGGCGCTTTGCTACGAAACCCTTTCGAAGTTCTGTCCGTTGTGTGCTGAACCTTGATAGTTTCGTGTTCTCGATGGAAAACCATTGACAGTTCCGTAGACCGTCTCAAGGTTCCGCATAAACTTTACGAAGCCACTCATAGTTTCGTACCTACTTTAATAGTACCGCATATATTGTACGAAACTGGGTATGGTTTTGTAAAAGATATACCGATCCATTGTATCATTTACAAAACTATTCATAGTTTCGTACGACGCATACAGAACCCTTTGATGTTTTATGAATTTTTCAATGGTTTCGTAAAATTTGTATTTAACCTTTACAACATGTACGAAACGAATCATGGTTTCGTATCAGATATATGAAACCTTTTGATGCCTTACGAAACTGCTAATAGTTTTGTAACATGTACACGAAACCTTCAGATAATTGATGAAAATGTGAATGGCTTTGTATAAGATATACCAAGCCATTAGATTTTGAATGAAACTATTTATGGTTTCGTATGAGATATCCGGAGTCTTCACATGGTCGGCGAAACTACTAGTGGTTTCGTACAATGTATAAGAAACCATTACATGACTTTCGAAACTATTGATAGTTTTGTAAAAGCGTGCGAAACCTTCACACCCCGTACAGAACTATATATGGTTCCGTACTACACATATGTAACCTTTTAATGCTCTAAGAATCTGCTAACGGTTTTGTGTGAGAGATACGGAATATCTAAATGTCCTCCGAGACTGTGGGTGTGGGTGTGGTTGAACTAGTGGACAACTCACACCCACAACGCCCACACCCGCACCCACATCCACACCCACCCACATCCACACCCACACCCATCCAAACCCACACCCACACCCAGTGTTTTTAAACCAAATTTTAAAGTATCCAGTGCACGAAAGTATGAGCTTTTGATTGAATTGCATCACTGTCGTCTGAGTGGTAACTAAAAGTTTGATTTTTACGTGTTTAATAACGCTTACTTTGCACTCTTTTTTTCACATCTGTATAAATTCACATACTGTGGACATTCTTTTGTTCGTCTTCTATCTCAGTTTTGTTTTTGCTTCTAAAATATTAACTTATTCATTAGCTGTTTCTTATAACCTTCGAACATGCGTTTCTTCTTTATAGTGGTTTGCATCATAGCCGTTATTTTACGTTTAACAACAGGATTGCCTCATGATCGCATGCGTCGTGGCCCCGTCGATCTGAGTGGTTTAACTGGTAACGGTGGAATGTCGTTTATATGTGTATTTCCACCATGTCCAGTACAACCGCTTGTCTTACCGTCAATGGTTGATTGGGATTGGGATGCTATTCATGCAAGCATTGCACAATGGAACAAAGAGCAAGAAGAGTTATTATTATCGAAAATAGATGATTAAAAATTGAACTAATTTTCAAATAAACCTCTTTCATGCACTTCGTTAAAATGACTTCTTTTACTGATTAATAACACACAGGATCGTATAATGACTATTTTTGAGCCATCTTAAGTTCTTATCTATTCATGACTTACCTCATGCCGAGTTTTGCAAACAGGGCTGTCTCAAATTTTTTTCGGAAGTTTTTCAGAAATCGTCGAGCAAAAAAAACCAAAATTTCGAGTCGAAGTTTTCCGTTGAAAAACATTTCATCGACATTTCCGCAAGACGCTCTAGACTCTCGCGGAGGGTGTTGGTGTGGGTGTGGGTGTGTGGGTGTTGGTATGGGTGTGGGTGTGTGGGTGTGTGGGTGTGGGTGTGGGTGTGGGTGTGGGTGTGGGTGTGGGTGTGGGTGTGGGTGTGGGTGTGGGTGTGGATGAGTGTGGATGTTGATGTGACTAAGGAGAAGGTCTAGACCCACACCCACACCCCACACACCTACACCCACATCCACCCACACCCCCACACCCGCATCCACACACACACCCACACCCTTCGTATATAATGATTACAGTTAGGATTAGTTGAATTAAACAGCTTGAGGTTTTTATCCTGAGATTGAAAAGTACACTTCGGAGGCTTTGAAGTTACAAGAAATGTATTTATTTGCAAAGTATTACATTGGTAAAGTATCATAGCTATCGAAAAAGGAAGTATAATTTTATGGACATAAACCATCATTAGCAGTAAATAGCCACAATACTAGGCCGAAAGCATATTTGGTTAAAGTTTAAAGTTGATTAGCGTTGATGTCGTGTATACATATACGTAAAGATTTAACATGGCACGATAAATATAAAAGACAACGGAAAAAACTTTCGTAAGGTCTAGTTCGTACACCAACAACCAGATTGGTTTTAGCAATAGAAAAATGCGTTTCTTAACTATAATTGTTCTTATTACTTTTACAACCACTTACATATGTACTGATGATCATCAGATGCACATTGATGAGCAATCTCTGATCAAAATGCTCGTTCAATCAAAAGACAAATATGGTTGTGATACAGCAATCGCTAGCTGTGGTCCAAAGGGAAAGTATTACGAGTGGCATGATGATTGTTTTAAGAAGCATGGATGTCGTGTAAATAGCTGAGGTTGGTCGTGTAAGCAAAGTTCGTCTTACTAGGCTTGTTTATATACTTTACTTGATTTATACTTGTCCAGGGATACCAGGTGCAGAATTATTCGATCCTTGTGCTCAATATAACGAAAGCTGTTTCCAAATGTATCACTAGTTTGATTATGTGGCCTGGGCCAAGCGAATGCTGCACAAACGGAAACTGTGGACAAGGAACACCATGAGCTTGGTTACACACAAGAATACATTATATCAGACATTTCTCTTCGTTTTATTAACCAAATTTCCATATAACATTTGAATTCACCCGAAGAAAAATAGCAAGGATCAAACCTTCCTCGAATAATGTCTTCTACAAAATGATACTTATGAATAAGCTTCATACTGTTCGATAATCTCAGCAACTACCAAGATTAGATTCATTTTTTTTATGGGTTTGCAGCGAATTCAACAAAATCTGCACACTAGTTTGAAAATGAAAATGTACATTTGATTGCACTTGTTGCTATGAGAATAGAATGCATCAGTCCGCACACATACATCTATGTCCTCAGGTATAATAAGATTGAAATTTCAATCAATTTTAAAAAATACAATTGTTATCAACTGTATATCTGATTCAACATGAACTTATTGATTAATATCGTTGAACAAAGATTGTTTTCTCATGGAAATATAGGATTGAAATCCATCTCAATCAATTTTTTTCTGAAGAAAAAGTATTTTTCAGCAAAAAACCAGCCTAACTCTTGAATAATCAAATATAATCTTGACTGTTGGCGGTGCGATATAGAAAAGCCAAGAAGACAACGGTCGCAAATTTCAACTTAGAAGATTTTTTTATCTTTAGCACAAACCGTAGTGAATGTACGCGTGTAGAAGGCCTATACAGTCTACCTGTACGTACCTATACAGGTTAGAGAAGATGTTCCAGCTTTGAGAAATTACGGGCTGTAGGAAATATATTCTTCATCGAAAGATCTGACTACAAGAACGTTTTCCTCATACTAATAACAGTATAAACTTCTCACACAAGTTCTTTGATTTAACTAAACAAGTCTTAACTTTGT